GTTATCAAAACAGTTATATAAAAAAAAACTATGAAACAGTTATTTAAAGAATCACCATAAGATTTAAATCATTTAGAATCAAGATTTTGTATTTTTAAAGTCGGTTGAATATATGAAATCGAAACAGTTATTATCTACTTTAAGAAGAAAATTTTCGAGAGATATATTTAAAGATTTAAATCAAATCCTTTTTCCTTTTTCTATTAAATATAGCTTTTGTAATTTAACCAAAACTAAAGTGAAGTCGGAATTTTACGAGTAAAGTGTACCTGGCAAGTACTCCTTTCCCGCACCTACTTTACATTAAAATACAAAATACCAAAATTACCCTCGCCTCTGTATAAAACCTCAATCCCTTCCTCACTCTCTCCACAAATCTTCTCAACAATCCGCAAAATCCGTTTCAATTCTCTCTGCAAATCTCTCTTCTCAAATCAAATCCCAGAAGATGAAGCAACTAATTCGCCGTCTCTCTCGCGTCGCTGATTCCGCTCAATACAGTCTCCTCCGATCCGATTCACAGCGACCTAACCGCCGTTCCGAGTCCTTTCTCCGATCATCGATGACTCGCCGCACAAAGAAGCAGGCATCTTCTGTTCCCGAAGGACACGTACCTGTCTACGTCGGAGACGAGATGGAGAGGTTCGTCGTTAGCGCAGAGCTACTTAACCATCCGGTTTTCATCGGTTTGTTAAACCGATCTGCTCAGGAATACGGTTACGAGCAAAAAGGAGTTCTACATATCCCTTGCCATGTTCTGATCTTCGAGCGAATCATGGAGTCGCTTCGTCTTGGATTAGCGGTTCCAAGTGATATTCAAGATCTAATCGAAGACGATACGATTTGAGGAAGATACGAAGCTTTTTTTAGAGGAATCTTGGTTAGTTAGAGAGATGGATCTGGGTTGTTTTTTTGTTCAGATACAGAGTAATACTTGGTGTTGATGTAAATAGATATATATTTTGCTTTTTTTTTTTTCTGGATTCGTTTGATGATGATGATGAAGAATTGAAATCCAAAAGATGAGCGACAATTTAGG